AAAATTTTGTGGGAAGGAGGGATCTAAACCAGGTTTCTTTAAAAGTGGGTTCACGCAAGCCGTTTTAAAATAATCAGGGACACAACCAGTAGATAGGGAGCTGTTGAAAACAGAGATCAAATGGGGCCCAACAGAATCTATTACTTTTAGTAAAAACTTTGTAGGTATTACATCAAGTGGGCTGGAGGACACTCTCATTTGTGATATTGTTTTTAAAAGCTCAGACAAGTCGATGGGATAAAACTGGTTAAAACTCTGTTGTTGCTGGTGAGGAACCTCTGAGTAAGAGGCCACGGGGGTAATAGAGGCTCTGATTGACACCACCTTATTGGTAAAATAAGATAAAAACAATTCACAGTCATCATTACTTCCAGCTGAGGCACAAGGAGGGGTTGGGTTTACCAGCTGATCCACAGTCTTAAACAGAAACCTGGGATTGTGTTTATGTGTAGTAATGAGTTCAGAAAAATAGTGTGTTCTCGCATCCTTAACCATGTTATTGTAGTTAATTAATAAATCCTTCAGACTGAGGTAATGGACTTGGAGATTGGATTTTTTCCATCTGCGCTCTGCTTTCCTGCATTCCCTTTTTAGGCTGCGAATGCTGTCATTTATCCAGGGTTGCTTACTAGCTTTAGACGTAGGCCTAACCTTTAGAGGAGCAGTAATATTTAGTGACGACAAGCAGATATGATTGAAGTGATCGACCAGATTGTTGGTGTTGGAATCAGACAGGTGTTGGCTTTGGCTCTGAAAGACTGCGCAAAACTTTGAAACACTTTGTTCATTAAAGAAGCGAGAACACACGGAGCTTGGTGAGGCGGCATGAGTAACAGGCAATCGCAGCTAAAAACAATACATCTGTGGTCAGATATGGTCATGTCCACTAATTCCACAGAGGAAATGCTGACACCCAGGGTAAAAACCAAGTCCAGTGTATGACCACGGTTATGTGTTTGCCCTTTGACATGTTGTTTGAAGTTAAAAGAAGTGGCCATATTTAAAAAGTCAGTTGCATTAACATTGTTGGGGTCATCAACATGAATATTAAAATCGCCACAAAGAACAATTCTGTCATAATTTAAAACCAGAGTAGATAAAAATTCAGGAAGTTCTGATAAAAATCCTCCAGGCGGTTTTGGGGGGCGATAAATTATAACAAATATGATGCAGCCCTCCAACTTTAAGAGTGAGAACTTCAAAGGAGCTAAATTCATCACAGCGTACTTGATGACATTTAAAATTTTTCCTATACACGCTCACTAGCCCACCACCACGACCACTGACCCTCGGTTGACTAAAGCAATCATATTGAGGCGGACACAGTTCAGCTAGCTGGCTATAGTCATTCATTTGCAACCAGGATTCAGTTAAAAACATAAAATCTAGATTTGCAGACAAGATAAAATCATTTAAGATAAAAGTCTTACTTGAAAGTGATCTCACATTGAAGAGAGCCATTTTAAATGAGTTTGTTCTGGGTGCTGGAGTTGGTGCAGTTGTCCTAATCCTTAAGAGATTACTATTATTTCTGTGTGGGATGTGCACATTTCGGTTTACTGGTCTATGCGTGATGATGACAGGAATAGAAGTCTGTGGAACAGCGCTGGGAGCAGACGGCTTTACATGCCAGCAGGTGGAGACAGTTGTTTGTGGCAGTGAGGCAGAGATCTGTTCAGTGAGCGGTGGTGTGTCCAGGTGTGCTGCATGAATGATGAGTCATTCACATAAGTCATGTGTGGACCGCACCACATGCTGTATGTGCGCAGCTAACATTTCTGAGCCCCGTTTGTTTGGGTGAAGTCCATCTGTCTTAAAAAGAGACATTCTTTGCCAGAAAATATTAAAATTATCCACATAACACACACGGTGAGCCCTGCAGGCGGACTGGAGCCAGTCGTGGAGGCCAAGGAGTCTACTGAAGCGGCCAGCACCGCGACCGACTGTGGGAATGGGACCAGAGATAAAAACGGACTTTCCACACTGCTTTAAAAAGTTAAGAAGACGGTTAAAATCTAATTTTGTCAGCTCAGACTGCCGAAGAGCTGTGTCATTTGTTCCGACATGGACTATCACTCTTGTGATGGAGGACGGGAGCAATGGCATCAGGTCCTGGAGTTTTTTTAAAATGTCAGCTGTGGTGGCACCGGGGAAGCAGTGAGAGGTAGCGTTAAAGAAACGGAGGTTTCTGGTTATGGAGTCACCAATTATTAGTGTGGTTGGGGAGAAAAGAGGACGAGGAGATGCTGGTTGTTGGGATCCAGAGCAGGACTGAGCAGAATCTGCTTCAACACTGCGTGCGGACTGAGGATGGAGTGTGTGAGCTGCCGAGTGTTGTGTTGGAGTAGCAGTAACAGACCTGAGAGAAGGGCTACCCGACGGTGCAGGGTAGAGACGGCCTCCGGAGCGTCTGAGCACAGCCTCCTTCAGGATCCTACGTCGGGAAGCGGAGGTTTTTGACCGGGATGACGGCCGCCGATCAAGTCCGGCGGCAGACCGGCGGCCCAGTGCAGGAGATGTAGCCGGTGGCGGAGATGCAACAGTGTCGGCAGGCACTGTGCGCCGAAAGAGATCCGTATCAGGGAGACTCGAAGCCGCAGGTGAATCCGCTGGATGGACCGGAGTGTCGTTAGACAGGGCTGCATAGCGCCTCGAGCCTCTCTTGCAGCCACGGACCACCACTTCAGCCCAGGTTGACTGATGCTTCGGAGTCGAGCAGGATGAAAGCCTGGGAAGACTAGAGGGGTCCCAAAACACGGTGTCCTGGATGTTAGCGGTTGCGCTAAGAGAAACAATCTGTTTGGCTTGTACTGAAGCTACATCCATAAAGCCAGTCAGCAGGGAATCTTTCTCTTTGAGTTCCTCTGAAAGTCGTCGGATGTCTTCCATAAGGTCAGCAATCTTCTTGTTCGCTTTCTTAAGGAGTGAGCAGTCCTCATGGGGCAGAGTTATCTCGGCTATCATAGTCACCGGAGCTTTGTTGCGATCAGTAGCGTTGATCGCGTTTTTACGGTCATCTATCTTAAAATCCATGTCGGATGACTAAAAGCCTTAACCCACGTAAAACTTAAATAAAGTTAAGTTAAATAAAAGGATATGTGTATGTGTAGTCCCTCGTAGGTCCAGTTCCTTTGGCCAATTATGCTTTTCTGTGAGAGCCTCTAAACTATGGAACCAATTGCCTGTGGATATTAGAAATTCCACCTCATACCATACATTCTCACACCATCTTAAGGTCTGGCTTTTGAGCATACAAAAATGTGAACACCTCTCATAATAATAATGTATGTCTGTCTCTATATTTTAGCTGTCGTGTAACTTTTGGTATATGTATGCTAAATAGATGGTTAGATGGTAACTTTATTAATGCCCTAACTGTTGTATGGCTGTATGGTTATATGTTATATGTTTTATGATGTTATGTTTTAATGGAGCCAGTGCTATGGCATTATGTTTTATTGTTGTATATCAATTGCTGTGTGACTTAATGTGTTTTATTATTTTTGTTTCTTTTAAGCTATTATGTGCCTAGTATAACATCTTGCCAATGGACTACAGTTGAAAATTAGCCTGCTGGCTAACACTGGCACATTTACAGAAATGTTGATTAATGTGCACTGTCCTTAAATAAATAAATGAAATGAAATGAAATGAAATCTGAAGAGATTCTCTGTTTGGAGGGTGTGGCTGCTAGAGGGGCACCCAACTGTTAGTGAAAAGTGACCAGGGTCCATTGCATCAGACATGAAGCCAACACGTAGCCTTCAGATTTTTAGAGAGAGATGCATGTCTGAAATGGCTTTAGACCACGTCAAGATTAGTTGATGGCTGCGGTGCATGTGACAAAGGAGCTATAGTTTATTCAAGCACTTTATCACACAACACTACACCACAGTGAAATAATATTCATAACAACTAACTTTGCACGTCAGTCTCGATCCCGAGTTGCTGCGACCTACTGTTAAGGAGACACATTTAATGCATTCCCACCAGATAATGGCAAATGATTTATTGCGTGACACAATTGTGTATTTATATAGCACCAATTCATAACAAACGTTCTCTCATTTCATGAGTGGAAATCAGAATCAGGTTTATTGCCAGGGACATTTTTACATAGGAGGAATTTGCCTTGAAATTAAATAAATGAAATGTGCTCAGGGCGACTCCAGATGGCCCAGGACACACTGTTGGACTCCTGGGCTTAGCCTGATGTGTCAAACGCGCGGTGTGCCGTCGTCCCACGACCTTCCTATGTTAACATCGCTCACCCAGGCCAGTAGAGTCACTGAGTGGAAATGTGCTCAGGGGGACGTTTCTTCAGTCCACGTTTTACCGTACTGACTGTATGACACATCAAATGACATCAGATTTAGACGAGCCACGAGGTCTTTTCTTAAAAAATAGCTGGGTTCGAGATGACTGTGGCTGACTTTCGCCGACTTGATGGTCGAACGTGAGCTGAAGGTGACCGCAGGAGCGGGATATAAAAATGGCGCCGTCAGTTCGGACACATTCTACCAGCACCAGCTCAATGACTGACCAGGAAATAGTGTGGTTCCAACTTTGCGCAGCCGGACTCGGCGCCTGCAGCCACCTTGCTCCCGCGACGTTTTAATGCCATGTGACATGGTGACGTTTTGCAGCGCCGGACACAATTTCTAACGAGCATGCCTTATTTAAAGCCCAGCATGCATCACATTAAGTCAGCGCCACAGGAAGTCCAACGCTCCTAATGCCTCAGGACATTTCAGCTAACTAAACGTTAGTGTCTTCTAAACCTGATGTAAGTATAATTTGATTTTCCGTCTGTGGCTGGTTTGATCCTGCAGCCTTGATAAAAACACAATTTTTCAGTTTCTCTCAAATTTATGACATAATGTCAGAATATTCAAGTTCTTTACTTTTAGATTTGTTTCTTTTTGTACCCCATAAATGTCCCACTTTTTTCTGGGATTATTACCCCTCTCGTCCCGGATACGCAGCGGGACAGTTTCACACCTGTGTAGCAGTCAGTTTATTTAATGTCCCAGAGTTACAGCTGAGCAGGTTAAAAAACACAGCATCACGGGAACAGCAGCTCTCTGGTATAATCAGGTCAAGCTCATCTGGTAACGTGGCCCCTTTGTTCTGATGAAGAAAAGAAACAACAACTTGGTTTAAATTTAGTTTTAATTCATTTCAAGCCAACCCATTTCATAGTTTATCAAAAACTGACTAGAAAAGAAAACAGGGAAACTCTGTACAAACACTGGATGGAAAACAGGTGAGCTGAGCAACAAACCAAAGAAGAAGAGATCAGGACATCTTCTGAAAGACAAACACCAGGTAGATACCTGGACAGAAGAGAGAGCAGAGGTGAGTCGGGAGCCAGTCATGACATTCAGTATTCAAAAGTGTGCAAAGACTCCAGGTTATTCATGCAACATCTGACATGTTCGGCAGCTTTGTTTGTAACCCCTGAACGTCTCAGTCATTCTGAATATGACAACTATGAAAATGTTTCTCCAAACCAGAAGTGAAGTTTTAAAATCTAAAAACTCTTTTCAACCACAATCATGTTTCCTCGTTTCATTGTGACTGACGATGAACAGCAGGATAACGAAGACACCAGGACCTCTGGATTAACACAATGTGGGTCTGTTCACTCTGAAGTTAAACTGTAGCGGCAAAGTTAAAGCTACTTACTGGCTGCTTCCCACTCAGATCTGCTCAACGTGCCCTGCACACAAAGAAAACACAGTTAGGACCGAACCAGACCGAACCAGACCGAGCGCTGTCAGCAGACCCACCAGAGGTACTTTGACTCCCACTCTTTCACAGTGCTCTTTGGCATGGCTGTACTCTCCTCTGCTGTCTGTAGCCTGTCGACCTCCATCCTCACTGGGAAACGGCTGAAAACAGAACAAGTTGAACACGGTAACTACTCTGTAATTTAATATTCACTACATGGTAAATAATTCTCACATTTAATTTAAACTACACGTTTAACATACATTTCTGCATCTTAACTGCACGTGACTTAAGTTAATGTATAATTTGTTCATCTGAACAAAGTTAAACGGTACTACGAAGGTGGATCAGATGTTGGTTAGTTGAGTCCGTGTTAACTTAATTGAGTTGGTGCGTGTTCCCATAAAAGTGGCGATTTCGGCCGTGCAGGTAGAATTTTTTCGCAACAGCGCATGCTCCGTATTTCTCCAGAGGAATGCACGTTGGTAGTCTCAGGAAATTATGAATGTAAAGACAAGTTAACGGCTAAATCTAATATCGTGGCAGCCGATGAAGCCAGGGCAGCTTGTTGGCATCGCATGGAGTAAATTTGTAGCCTAATTATCTTCACAGTGTTCTGATTGTAGTTCAAATCTCTATTCTGTATTTTATGGGCTCCTCTTCTATGTGTAATATGATTAAGATGTAAAGGTACAACTGCACATAAGGTCCACTGTAATAGAAAAAAAGGAGCCAGCGGAGAGGGGGAATAATCCGAGACAGAATTTAACTTCCAGGATTAATCTACAAGTAAAAACTTGAACATTCTCTGACATTATAGTCACACATTTATGAGAGAAACTTCACTTTGCAAGGCTGCAACATCACACACACGTCTGCCATGTACTGTGCATTCACTGGAAAGTTATATTAATTATTATTTTGCAATCGGATTCAGCAGTGAGGAAACGCCCCTGAGTTTAGCCCACAATCACTATCATGCACCTCAGAGACTTTGCCTTGGATCGGCCGTATTCAGAAGAAAACAGCAGAATGATTTTTGATTTTTTATGACATGAATTTTCCAATTTTTCTTCTTGGAAGTTTCACACTTTCACCTAGGCCTCCCTGTTTCTTGGACACGTAAAATAGTCCATCTAAATAGGCCTATATGAAAACACTTCGGAGAATTCAATTATAGTCTACGACTACAGATGGGCTCCATCTACAAAACTGTCCCGTTTATTAATTAAGATTCCTCTCTAAAATCCCAGAGGCTGCAGGGTTCGCTGTCTGAACGTGATGCTGTTCAGAACTTCACTGCAGCCACATTGGAAGAAATCAGGATGAAATCTAAACATATTTTAAGAGGTGGTGTGTATTAATATCCTACTTCTCTCATCAACACTGAGTACAGATGAGGTGTGTAGTCCACGTGCAGGGGAACCTCGAGATAACCACCAACAAAACCTGCTCGGAGCAGTTTTAGAGATGTGGCGTAAATTGCCATGGCAACAGACCTCGGGTAACACCTATCCACCTTTCGTAGTACGGGTTAACCGGGAAGTTACACCCGACGTCACGAAGTTACCTGGATAAGCCAGTTACCTCGCTTCGTAGTACAGACCACAGGTCTCCTGAGGTCAAAAACAAAGGAGTGTACATTTTACCTCCAGAGCCATCATCTTCATCATGAGGCTGCGATGATGCTCCTTCTTCACTTTCTCACCAAAGAACTCAGAGAATCTCTGCTTCAGCACCAGATGCATGTTGTACCGCTTCGCCATGCTGCCACACGGAGACAAGACAGTAGAGTGTTTACGGTAGAGTCAATAGAGTCTTTTCGGTAGAGTCTTTACGGTAGAGTCAATAGAGTCTTTACGGTAGAGTCAATAGAGTCTTTACGGTAGAGTCTTTACGGTAGAGTCAACAGAGTCTTTACGGTAGAGTCAATAGAGTCTTTACGGTAGAGTCTTTACGGTAGAGTCAATAGAGTCTTTACGGTAGAGTCAATAGAGTCTTTACGGTAGCGTCAATAGAGTGTTTACGGTAGAGTCCTTAGAGTCTTTACGGTAGAGTCCTTAGAGTGTTTACAGTTGAGTCAATAGAGTCTTTACGGTAGAGTCAATAGAGTCTTTACGGTAGAGTCAATAGAGTGTTTACGGTAGAGTCCTTAGAGTGTTTACGGTAGAGTCCTTAGAGTGTTTACGGTAGAGTCCTTAGAGTGTTTACGGTAGAGTCCTTAGAGTGTTTACGGTAGAGTCCTTAGAGTGTTTACGGTAGAGTCTTTACGGTAGAGTCAATAGAGTCTTTACGGTAGAGTCAATAGAGTCTTTACGGTAGAGTCAATAGAGTCTTTACGGTAGAGTCAATAGAGTCTTTACGGTAGAGTCTTTACGGTAGAGTCAATAGAGTCTTTACGGTAGAGTCAATAGAGTCTTTACGGTAGAGTCAATAGAGTCTTTACGGTAGAGTCAATAGAGTCTTTACGGTAGAGTCAATAGAGTCTTTACGGTAGAGTCTTTACAGTTGAGTCAATAGAGTCTTTACGGTAGAGTCTTTACGGTAGAGTCAATAGAGTCTTTACGGTAGAGTCAATAGAGTCTTTACGGTAGAGTCAATAGAGTCTTTACGGTAGAGTCTTTACAGTTGAGTCAATAGAGTCTTTACGGTAGAGTCTTTACGGTAGAGTCAATAGAGTCTTTACGGTAGAGTCTTTACGGTAGAGTCAATAGAGTCTTTACGGTAGAGTCCTTAGAGTCTTTACGGTAGAGTCCTTAGAGTGTTTACGGTAGAGTCCTTAGAGTGTTTACGGTAGAGTCCTTAGAGTGTTTACAGTTGAGTCAATAGAGTCTTTACAGTTGAATCAATAGAGTCTTTAAGGTAGGGTAAATAATGTCTTTACAGAAGAGTCAAGAGTCTTTAAAGTCCAGACTCTACTGTAAAGACTACAGTAGAGTCAAGAGTCTTTACAGTAGAGGGTTGAACAGGCTGCAGCAGGAACATTAAAATAAAGTCTTACTGTTCGAAAAGTGGAAAGTAGACGAGGAACTCTGGAACATTGACGACGTCCTCAAGGCTGAAGTGATATTGACATCCGAACTGAGGATAGAACCCTTTGGACTGGAAGGAGACTTTAAAAACCTCGTTACCAAACGACAGAGAGTCCGACGCCTCCAAACGTTTACTGTGGAGGAGGAGGAGAGAGAAGAAGGAGAGTGGAGGAGGAGGCGAGAAGAGGAGGAGAGGCTTAGTTATTCAAGAGTGACCTCTGAATTTCCAGACACATACAGACACAACAGCGTGTTGTGGATCAATCAGTGTTCTCTTACACAAGCTCGAAGGCGTCCGGCGTCGTTCCAATGAAGAACCCTCCGGGTTTCAGACGCTCGCAGGCGTTCCTCAGCATCATGTCGGCCTTATGTTCACTCTCAAATGAGTAGTGATAAACAAACTGACAGCTGCAGATGTCAAACATCAGCTGCGGGTCGTCCAGCTTCTCTGACAGAACCTCCTGAACACACGGGTCAAAGCAGTCAAAGCAGTCACAGAAGCTCCTGAACACACGGGTCAAAGCAGTCACAGAACCTCCTGAACACTCGGGCCAAAGCAGTCACAGAACCTCCTGAACACTCGGGTCAAAGCAGTCACAGAACCTCCTGAACACTCGGGTCAAAGCAGTCAAAGCAGTCACAGAAGCTCCTGAACACTCGGGCCAAAGCAGTCAAAGCAGTCACAGAAGCTCCTGAACACTCGGGCCAAAGCAGTCAAAGCAGTCACAGAAGCTCCTGAACACTCGGGTCAAAGCAGTCAAAGCAGTCACAGAACCTCCTGAACACTCGGGTCAAAGCAGTCAAAGCAGTCACAGAAGCTCCTGAACACTCGGGCCAAAGCAGTCACAGAAGCTCCTGAACACACGGGTCAAAGCAGTCAAAGCAGTCACAGAAGCTCCTGAACACATGGGTCAAAGCAGTCACAGAAGCTCCTGAACACATGGGTCAAAGCAGTCACAGAAGCTCCTGAACACTCGGGCCAAAGCAGTCACAGAAGCTCCTGAACACTCGGGCCAAAGCAGTCACAGAAGCTCCTGAACACTCGGGCCAAAGCAGTCACAGAAGCTCCTGAACACTCGGGCCAAAGCAGTCACAGAAGCTCCTGAACACACGGGCCAAAGCAGTCACAGAAGCTCCTGAACACACGGGCCAAAGCAGTCACAGAAGCTCCTGAACACTCGGGCCAAAGCAGTCACAGAAGCTCCTGAACACTCGGGCCAAAGCAGTCACAGAAGCTCCTGAACACTCGGGCCAAAGCAGTCACAGAAGCTCCTGAACACACGGGCCAAAGCAGTCAAAGCAGTCACAGAAGCTCCTGAACACTCGGGCCAAAGCAGTCACAGAAGCTCCTGAACACACGGGTCAAAGCAGTCAAAGCAGTCACAGAAGCTCCTGAACACTCGGGCCAAAGCAGTCAAAGCAGTCACAGAAGCTCCTGAACACTCGGGCCAAAGCAGTCAAAGCAGCCACAGAAGCTCCTGAACACTCGAGCCAAAGCAGTCACAGAAGCTCCTGAACACACGGGTCAAAGCAGTCAAAGCAGTCACAGAAGCTCCTGAACACTCGGGCCAAAGCAGTCAAAGCAGTCACAGAAGCTCCTGAACACTCGGGCCAAAGCAGTCAAAGCAGTCACAGAAGCTCCTGAACACTCGGGCCAAAGCAGTCACAGAAGCTCCTGAACACTCGAGCCAAAGCAGTCACAGCTACAGCGTCTTCCACCACAGCAGTCCGAACACCATCTTAGAGCGTAAATCCGGGTCAAGAGTCAGATAGAGGAACCGGCCCAGCCTGGTTTCACCTGTCTGAGGGGGCAGCTCTACCCTGATCCAGTACCCTACCTTGGTGCAGTCTGCGGTGATGAACTGAGCGCTGAAGAGTCTCTCGTTTGCGTGGCTTTTCTTCTTCATGTCTTCGTAGCGACTCTGACACTGCTCCACAGACACTCCCGCTATATCTGAAAACAAGCACATTATTGATTATTAATTAATATTTCACATCATCTGCAGAGAGGTTCCAGGAGGTTCAGCCGAAGAGGTTCTGTGGAAACTAGTGTAAAGAACCTGGAGAAATGTGATGGGAACATTTAAATCAATAACCAATTACCTGCACAGACCAGGTGACTGATCCCTCCTCTCCTCCACTTGAGCAGGTCTCCTCCTTTCCCACAGCCGAGGTCCAACACAGACACCTGCCGAGGCCCTGCCCCCCGCACCTGATCCAGGATCTCACCTGTCAATCAAACAGCTAATCAACTAAGAAAACAGGTGCGTTCAGGTGTTTCACGTATTGATTAATGATCAGTTACCAATCAGGACGCTCTTTAGCCAGTTGTTGAAGTTCCTCATGAAGAAGATTCTGCTTCGACTGCGTGCAGCCAGACCCACCTCCTGCAGGCTGTTGTAGTGACTCGCCACCTTCACACTGTGATCAGTCGCCTGACGGATCAATAACACGTCATCAATAACACGTCATCAATAACGTCAGACTTATCAATACTCTCAGTCAGTAAATCTACCAGCTTCTTGGTGGGTGAGGTCTCGTCTTCCTCCTCATGTCTCCTCTTCATCCCAGTTTTCTGCCGTCCATCCTCCCTCTCTCCGGGGCTCCCTCCTCCTCCTGGAGTTGATTGAGGCTCCATGGTTCACACTGAAAACAGAAAGAGTGATTTATCCAGAGAGACTGGCCGGCCAACAAAAATATCCGGCCCGCGGCCTGATTACTTTGATAGCGGGGAAAAAAATAATAATATATATGTCTCACCATAGCGGCTGGTGCTGAAACAGATCTGAGTCATGACAGTAAAAGTTACTAGGGGGTGGTGATGGGGCAGTGGATAAGACACCAGCGGGCAACACTGAGTCTTATTTGAAACTGCTGGCTAAGGATAAACGTAAATACAGTAAGATTGTTATTCACGTCGGCGGTAATGACTCCCGGTTACGCCAATCGGAGGTCACTAAGTTAATTAATGTTGAGTCGGTGTGTACATATGCAAAAACAATGTCGGACACCGTAGTTTTCTCTGGACCCCTGCCAAATCTGACCAGTAATGACATGTATAGCCGCATGTCGTCATTCCGCCGCTGGTTGTCGAGGTGGTGTCCAGCAAACGATGTGGGCTTTGTTGATCATTGGCAGACTTTCTGGGGAAGACCTGGTCTGATCCGGAGAGACGGCATCCATCCCACTTGGGAAGGAGCAGCTCTCATTTCTAGAAATCTGGCCAAGTTTATTAGTGGACCAAATCCATGACAACCCAGAGTTGAGACCAGGAGGCAGAGTCGCAGTCTAACACACTTCTCTGCTCCTCCATTTCAGGAGTTACTTAGTGAAAATCCTATAGTGACGGTGTCTGCCCCCCGACAATCGAAATTATTTAAATCAAAGATAAACAGAAGAGGAGCTGTGCATAAAAACCTCATAAAATTCATAAAGTCATTAATACTCACATTCCTTGAGGCACAGGCCGAGGAGGTGGAGTTGCAGCTATCTTCGACTCTAGCCTACTAATCAGCTCTAAACCTAAACTATAACTCATTTGAAAGCCTTGTTCTTAGTCTTTCACACCCAAGTTGGAAATCACTGCAACCAATTCTTTGTTATAGCGTACCGAGCACCTGGTCCGTACTCCGAGTTTTTGTCAACTTTAGTCCTTAAAACGGACAAAGTTATTATTGTAGGGGATTTTAATATTCATGTGGACATTGAGAATGACAGCTTCAGTACTGCGTTTATCTCTCTGTTAGATTCCATCGGCTTCTCTCAGAGTGTTCATGAACCGACTCACTGTTTTAACCACACCCTCGACCTTGTTTTGGTGTATGGTATTGAAATTGAACATTTAGTGGTGTTCCCACAGAATCCCTCTTTATCCGACCACTGTTTGATAACTTTTGAGTTTGTATTGCTGAACTACTCGCCATTGGGCAAAAAATTCTATACAAGATGTCTGTCTGATAGTGCTGTAGCTAAATTTAAGGATGTGATTCCATCAGCTCCTATGCTAGTTTCAGTCCCTCCCAAATCGATCATCTTGTTGATAGTGCTGCAGGCTCGCTGCGAATGACACTTGACTCTGTAGCCCCTCTAAAAAAGAAAATAATATTAAAGCTGCAAGCAGCGTTGGGCAGGCGCTCGCACATGTAGCGCGTCCGGGTATGAGCCGGCCACGTTGCATATTCTGGAGCTCTGCCAGTGCGGCTGTGAATTTGCGACGCGGTTCTGACGCTGCATGAAGGTGTTATATGTCACTTCCTGTGTCCTCTATGTGGAGCTACATAGCACTTGCCGCTATGAATATAAATCAGTATTGGTGTGTAGATGTCTGCGGGGTGGGAGAGTAATCAAGCACGTAAAGTTTGGTTCAGATGTGAGCATGTACACTGAAGTTACAACAACTTCCTGTGTAGTGGCGAAGAGTTGATCTTTGTCGACACGCCACGGATACGGCCATTGACGAAAACTCGCAAATAGCACAGCTTTTCATCGTCAATGCCTTTAGAAGGCACAGCACAAATTTGAAGTCGGTCGGACTAAATCCCTAGGAGGAGTTCGTTAAAGTACGGAGTGTGTAAATCATCCAAAATTTGACGTAAAATTCAAAATGGCCGACTTCCTGTTGGTTTTAGGACATCGCTCCAAGAGGCTTTTTTGTGCGTCTGGACAAGATACACGTACCACAGAAAAATTGTACACGTAGGTGAAACGTGCGGCGGGGGCTGCTTCAATAAAAGTCACTTCCTGTTGCCAGCAGGTGGCGCTATGACTGTGGGTGAATGTCGGCATTTACATGTGTTCATGGCGGGACTCTCATCCTACATGTACAGTTTGGTGCAGATGTGAGCATATACACTGAAGTTACAACAACTTCCTGTGTCATGGCGAAGAGTTGATCTTTGACGCCACGGACACGTCCATTGACGAAAAGTCGCAAATAGCACAGCTTTTCATCGTCAATGCCTTTAGAAGGCACAGCAGAAATTTGACGTCGATCCGACTAAATCCCTAGGAGTTCATTAAAGTACGAAGTGTGTAAATCATCCAAAAATGGCCGTAAAATTCAAAATGGCCGACTTCCTGTTGACTTTAGGGTATGGGTTCTTGAGGCTTTTTTGTGCGTCTTGATGATACATGTCCCCAGAAAATTTCGTGCATGTAGGTTGAACGTGAACGAGGGGCAAATTTTTTCCAATTTTCTAGGTGGTTCTAGCGAGTCATTTTGCCACGCATATGCGCAAAACCCGTAAAATCCGAAATTTTTCCCCAGTCCTGACATGTGTGCAAAGTTTGGTGAGTTTGAGTATGTTTAGGCCCCGTCAATGGAGCCTACTTTGCAGGGAAAATTTTATATATATATGTATATATATATATATATATATATATATATATATATATACATACACACACACACACACATATACACACAGGGTACGGAAAGTATTCAGACCCCTTTAAATTTTTCACTCTTTGTTTCATTGCAGCCATTTTCCAAAAATCAAAAAAGTTCATTTTATTTCTCAGTAATGTACACTCAGCACCCCATCTTGACAGAAAAAAAACAGAAATGTAGAAATTTTTGCAAATTTATTAAAGAAAAACTGAAATATCACATGGTCATAAGTATTCAGACCCTTTGCTCAGTATTTAGTAGAAGCACCCTTTTGATCTAATACAGCCATGAGTCGATTTGGGAAAGATGCAACAAGTTTTTCACATCTGGATTTGGGTATCCTCTGCCATTCCTCCTTGCAGATCCTCTCCAGTTCTGTCAGGTTGGATGGTAAACGTTGGTGGACAGCCATTTTCAGGTCTCTCCAGAGATGGTCAATTGGGTTTAAGTCAGGGCTCTGGCTGGGCCATTCAAGAACAGCCACGGAGTTGTTGTGAAGCCACTCCTTCGTTATTTTAGCGGTGCGCTTAGGGTCATCGTCTTGTTGGAAGGTAAACCTTCGGCCCAGTCTGAGGTCCAGAGCACTCTGGAAAAGGTTTTCGTCCAGGATATCCCTGTACTTGGCCGCATTCATCTTTCCCTCGATGGCAACGTGGTCGTCCTGTCCCTGCAGCTGAAAAACACCCCTACAGCATGATGCTGCCACCACCATGCTTCACTGTTGAGACTGTATTGGACAGGTGATGAGCAGTGCCTGGTGTTCTCCACACATACCGCTTAGAATTAAGGCCAAAAAGTTCTATCTTGGTCTCATCAGACCAGAGGATCTTATTTATCACCATCTTGGAGTCCTTCAGGTGTTTTTTAGCAAACTCCATGCAGGCTTTCATGTGTCTTGCACTGAGGAGAGGCTTCCGTCGGGCCACTCTGCCATAAAGCCCCGACTGGTGGATTGCTGCAGTGATGGTTGACTTACTACAACTTTCTCCCATCTCCCGACTGCATCTCTGGAGCTCAGCCACAGTGACCTTTGGGTTCTTCTTTACCTCTCTCACCAAGGCTCTTCTCCCCCGATAGCTCAGTTTGGCCGGACGGCCAGCTCTAGGAAGGGTTCTGGTCGTCCCAAACGTCTTCCATTTGAGGATTATGGAGGCCACTGTGCTCTTAGGAACCTTAAGTGCAGCAGAAATGTCTTTGTAACCTTGGCCAGATCTGTGCCTTGCCACAATTCTGTCTCTGAGCTCTTCAGGCAGTTCCTTTGACCTCATGATTCTCATTTGCTCTGACATGCACTGTGAGCTGTAAGGTCTTATATAGACAGGTGTGTGGCTTTCCTAATCAAGTCCAATCAGTATAATCAAACACAGCTGGACTCAAATGAAGGTGTAGAACCATCTCAAGGATGATCAGAAGAAATAGACAGCACCTGAGTTAAATATGAATGTCACGGCAAAGGGTCTGAATACTTATGACCATGTGATCAGTTTATCTTTTTTAATAAATTTGCAAAAATTTCTACATTTCTGTTTTTTTCTGTCAAGATGGGGTGCTGAGTGTACATTACTGAGAAATAAAATGAACTTTTTGGATTTTTGGAAAATGGCTGCAATGAAACAAAGAGTGAAAAATTTAAAGGGGTCCGAATAGTTTCCGTACCCACTGTGTCTGTGTGTGTGTGTGTGTGTGTATATATATATATATATCTCTATCTATCTCAGCAAATTCAATAGGGACCTCACACGGTCATGCTCGGGCCCTAATAATTTGAAAATCAGTACAATTATTTGTCAGTCTAAGGTTCCACTGGTTGTCCTCACTTCATGAGCATGAGGAGACATTTTGCAGCAATTATTTCACATTTGAGCATTTCTCCCAGTAAATAGGGGAGTTTCTGTGTGTCTGATATGAATTTGAATTCGGGGTATATTTGGGAAATGTTTGCAAAGTGTTTTTGTCTTTGTGTTTTATATTTAGGGCATGAGGTTAGAAAGTGCAGCTCTGTCTCTACCTGTCCTCTGTCACACTGGGAGCAGAGTCTCTCCTCTTGTGGTAGCCAGCTCTGTCTGTGGCGACCCTTTTCTATGGCCAGGCTGTGTTCACTCAGTCTGTATGTTGTCAACATGTTTCTTAGTTTGGGACATTTTATTGTACTCAGGTAATTTGCCAGTGTGAATTCTCTTTTTAGGGTCAGATAACATTGGAATTTACTTTGTGTTTTGGTCGTTTCTTTCCGGTATTCAATAGATTTTTCTTTCTG